GAAGTTGCGAAAACAAGGTCAAACAACTTCTATTGAACGAAAGGAGACTGCGACCACACAAAAGACCCCACCATCTTGGTCTTCATATCTATTGTTAGGCATGTTGTCCTGTTCTGACGCTGTCCGTCACATGAGGTCCTATTCGCACAAATCAACTACGACAGCTCCAATCAACCCACCCACAGTTTCCGGTGTAACTAACTTACTAATCCCTTCCACTCGCCTCTTCATGCGAAATGAAAGGTACTCGATCATGTTTCTATTAAGTGATTTTTCAAATCTCAGCTTTGCTACATTCTTGTTCTCTTAGCTCCTCATCTATTAACTTAATAAAGTCATAGGCATTCATTATTGAAAATTTCCTCAAACCCGAGATTGCTCTCAGTGACCACTAGTAAATCGTGGTGTCTAGTACATCATACCCCCCCTATTCTTCACAATGATCCTAATTGGTACCCCCTCTTTGTAAATTTTGGGCAGACAATGTGTATTAAGAGGTAAAGCACCGCGTTGGAAAGTGCATACATTTTCTACTTCAATTCTCAACTATTGGCCCTTGTTGCAGGCAATTGTTTAGTGTTTCTGTATGGCACTTAGTTATAATTTTATAAGCATCAAAATCAGCCAAAAGCCAGCATTATCTTTTCTATATAATCTGCTACATTTCCAACTAGAATTGCTGCCTTCAAAACTGCTTGTTTATGCTGCCTAAGAGTTTAAGTAATATCATTAATCCACATATTCTTATTTGGCATTCCTACATGATTATCAATGAGAGGAATTACTTATATTTTATTCAAACTGCTAGTTTCTTCTGCTAATAAGTCATCAAAGTTAAGAACTTTCACCAAAATGTATTCAGTGTAATGTCTTGTACATTATCTTGTGTTCAGATAAACTAGGCATCCGGAAATCATCATTGGTAAAAAGTTAATTAAATATTAATATGAAGTAGGATGCGAAATTATCAGTAAGTCTAAATAATATTGCTAGTCAGCTTAGGCTGCGCAAGGTAATGAAGGACCTATAGTTGAACTTATTCACAACGATGAATAAGTCTTATTTTTCCGTTGGACTTAACTCAGCCTTGTTACCAAACAGGTATTCTCATCCAGGATGGACTACAGACCCACAAATGGAATCGAACCCGTATAGTCTCAACATGTCACTCGTTCTATCACTAGTGGGGTGAAACTAAGGTGTGTCTTGCATGATAATAGCTTTTGAGGAGCGGAGTTAAGTGAAGTTCAATGGAAACATGAGGCCTATTCATATAAGTGGGTGCAATCAAACTAGGTAACCTAGGGTGACTGGGACCCTTATTTACGCAAAGATTTAATCATGTAATGTATTAATTTAGTCACGTTTGGTACATAATTAGTGTATGTATAACCTTTAAAATTCCATTGTCACAAAATAGTTTAAGGGACAACGATCAGCGATCTCTGGGCTCTTGTTAACGCATCTCCTAATGTCTCAAAGAGTATAAACCAAAATTAGCGGACTCAAATTGCAAGCATTCTAACGACACTATGGAAAAAATTGACTGACTAAACAGTTGGCACACTGAAAAGCAACCATTCCAATTGCTATATCGTCTGATAAGTGATTTTTTAAAATTTATTTGTGTCCAACTGATTTTGCTTAATCTCAAACAATTTATGAATTATATGAAAACAGAGTTTTAAAGAATCCCTTGGTGGGATGATGTTGGATTACCTTTTATTATGTTTGAAGAGGCAAGTAGAATGTTGGCCTCACCGAAAGCCATTGGGCGAATGCCATGGAGCTGTGATTGTAGATTTATGTGAAGAAGTCCTCTGCGCACCGCCCTACGAACCCGATGAATCCTTGCTGAGATTTTATTCGTGTTTTAATGAGGTACCTTAAAGCATGGTTTCTTGCTCGGACAATGTCCATCACATGACGGAAGAAAGCTCCGCAAATATTAATCGGCGTCACAGAGGAAATAGTCGCACAATTTCTAATCACAGTTTCAAGAAAATAGCTCTACAGCTTTCGGTGAGGCCAACTTGTGAATCTCTTCCACTCGCCTCTTCAGACGAAATAAAAGATACTCCAGCATCAGTTTATGAATTATTACGTTGACTTTCATTTAACGTGTAGCCGTGGGATGAAGAGAATTTGAGTAGACCCCATTAGAAAATGATGGCTTGATTTCTTGGTCCCGCTTTCTTTTGACTTTACCACGACATTCAGCTTGGCGCAGGCCACGTGGCATCCTCCTACGTTTCGAGTGAACACGGTATACACAGTCAGAGCTAGAAACCATTCTTAAAAATGCTTCAAATTAATACAAATTAAGGAAACTAGATGGCTATACCTGAAGATATATATATATATATATATAATTTTATCAATCTGTGTTAATGCAAATCTAAGTAATTAAACGCTTGAGTGTGTGTATATGTTTTCGTCTGAATGCGTGTGGGGAGGATACGAAATCAATATTCACAAATATAGGTAATTACTCCAGGGCTTAATGTAAGTCTAGCATCATCAAGGTCGAATGATCTAAGGATAAGCATGGTTAAGATTGGGTAATCGCTAGCTCACGTCTAGTTGAGTTGATAGGCGTGAGACTGTACTATTCAAGTCAAGGTTTAAAATATCACACTAAAACTATAAATGAATAGCCTCGGTCTCCCGGATTATTTGTTTGAGGCCAAGACGCATTAAAAATGGCGTAGCTTAAAAATAATAGGATCCTAAAAGCTTCCGAATTCTCACGAAAAATATTAAAGATGAGGTGTACAGATGAATAACAACTATGAACGATGTTATTGAGGATATTGAAGAGATTTTTGGGTAGTGTCATAAAATCATGAATGAATGTAGCCCTTCTGCGGTATATAAGACACTAATGATTATGGTTTATATTAAAGTCACAAAGGAGTTCTATCCAGTATA